CTCGTTTCGTACTCGCAAGGAATCTCGACAAGCTAAACCCAGGACCTGTTATTGCGTTGAAAAAAATGATTGAAACATGACGACGAAGGAGTGGATGTTGTGATGCGAAAGAAGCAGCCAACGCGGCTGCGGGACACTGAGATAGCGACAAAGTAAGTGACTACAAGGGATCAAGATAAGTCGTAAAATCAGGAGAGAAGGAGAAGCCTAATAATCAGAAACTCCGGCAGGACAAAGACCACGAGCGCACTAGAAGTCGAAAGACTATGCCTACCACAATCGGTGCCGTGGCGAGGACTAGCATCACCGCTCGGGGTACGATGAGTTTGTGTACCGGAAGTGGCTTCTTCGGGTAAAGCTGTTTAACAGAGCTGATAATCGGGAAAGGGGATCAACGACTTCGAGCCCCGAGGCGATACGTTTCGTACCTCCTTTTGTTCTGGGCCGCTATGGTGTGCGTTCCACGAGTCGCCCAAGGTTCTAGAGATCAACGTGGGTCGGCTGCCTTTGTGTGCTTAAGCGGGAGCCAAGTTAATGGAAAACGTCCCGGGTTTCAGTAGCACAATGGACAAAGAAGATTTGTGAGAAGCCGTTGATAAAGAGATTATCGAGCGAGGAAAAGGGGATCTTTATTGAAATGGGGTGACGGGCAGTGTATTGTCGTAGAACTTTGGCCTGAGAGGAAAGTAAGGTATCTGGTGCCAACAACACAGAATTTGAATAACAACAAGGATGGTTGTCTAGAGCGGAGTATTACTGTATCTGGGTCTCTGTGAAACGATGACAGAAAACTCGTGCCTTGCTATCGCAATGCATTGCTCAAGCAAAGTTCCCCGGATTTGCTCATGCGCATCGTTGCGCAGAGACGTGGGCTGGCCAAAACATGGAACCAGAGACAGGGACACCGGAAGGAAGCACAGGAAGTGAGCGCAGCTGGCCCCGCGGCGATGATGCCGGACCCCGCTCATCAACCGGCCAACGGATAGACTCCAACATTATCAGCCAATGATGTGGCGCGTCGGTACCGCGTCTGCTGTGCGTACCTCGGATTTCTTAGTTGTATTGACAAACACGGAAGTAAACAACCCAAAAAAGTCCACTTCACATTCTGGTCGCCCCAACCTAACCAGGCCGTTTTTGGTCATAAGCCGCCCGCCGTGGCAGTCACCATCGTGCAGCTTTTCGGCTGGGACCTTTCTTTCTTCCCATCTAGAGTTGTTTCCAAACTCTCCATCCCGTCCCCATCCTTCCTCCACTTTGGTCGTTGTCGAGGCAGCCTGGGTCTGGTTCTTATCTTCTACCAACCCGCAGAAGATAAATCGACCTTCCCTTCTTTCAAATCCCTACCCGTCGCAATCTCCCGTTCCTCGTCCATCCCTTCACTCCGACCAACCGTGCCCGAACTAATCACTCGCAATTGGGGACCACGACTCTTCACAACACTGCCAAGGGAGCCACTGTGGTGTTTACATGCTATCCGACACGCGATTATTCTCACTCCCACGATAAGCACATCATCATCCACCGCGGCTTCATAATTCTTCATTGCCCCACAAAGTTGCCGCCGCAAGCAAACAATTAGCAGCGCTAGTCATCCGCAAGACCAGCAGTCGCGATGGACGCTAGAGTAAGTCACGACCCTCCCTCGCAACGTTTACGCTCGAGTACCTACCCAAAAGGACCAACAAAGGCCGACTTTCTCGATCTATTGACTGACTTGCCTCGAACAGCCTCAGCGCCTCAGAGTCCACGCAGTTGGCAACGAGAACACCATCCCTTCGAAACACGATTCTCTTCATCAGCGACACAAGTCCACCGGTAACCTGCAAGCTATGCCTCGCAACGGCGCTCTGCAGGTTGCTGCTAAGCGAAATGCATTCGGCGACGTCAGCAACACGGCGAAGAACCTGGCCACTCTTCCCAGTGACCAGATTCCGGGCAAGGGCAAGGCTGTGGACTTCGTCTACAACAAGGAGAACGCGGTCAATGGCAAAGATGGTTTTTCAAAGGCCGCCCAACGGGCTACTGCTCTCAGCAACAAGAACGGCCCCGTCGCTGCGGAGTGGAAGCAGCCCAGGACCCAAAACAAGCAGGTTGCCAAGAGATCTTCCGCCGCTCAACTTTATGAGGCACGTCCCTCCAAGAGCAAATTCGTTGCCCAGGACCCCATTACAGAGTCGACATCTGCCAGGCAGCCTCGTCACCACAAGTCTCAGCCTCAGCTTAAGAATGAGCCTGCTGCGCATGTTCTGCGACGGACCCAAAGCAAGCTGTCCACAGCCTCTGCACACCCTGCCCCTGCTGCGCCAAATTCGAAGCCGATGGACGATGTCACGGAAGCTGCCTACGAGGACGCTGTCGAGCACATAGGCGATGAACATTACCACGGCACGTACCACAGACGCTCGCTAGACGTCACGAACAACGATCTACCCGAGGATTTCGCTTCAGCAGACGCTGCCGTTGACAAGCTTGGCTCCCTTGAGCCTCTTTCCGAATCACTGGGTGTCCCGAACCTGTCTGAGCCAGAAGAGTACTGGGATGAGGATGACGAAGAAGAACTCTACGATGATCAGGGCTACACGACTGCCCACTCTTACCGCTCCCGCGGTGACCTCACCACGGGCGGCGTAACGACTATACTCGCTCCTAAGATTACCGACAAGGTCGAGCAAGAGTTGGAGACCGCCCGGGCCATCGTCGAGAGTACCCGCACCCAGGAGGAGGTCGACGACGAGATTTGGGATGTCTGCATGGTTGCTGAGTATGGGGATGAGATTTTTGAGTACATGAGGGAACTCGAGGTTTGTATGTCCCGCCCGCCTCGATACAGGCACTTTCTAATTCGTGTGCTTCCAGATGAGAATGTTACCCGACCCTCACTACATGGACAACCAGGCCGAGATTCAATGGTCCATGCGCTCCGTCCTGATGGACTGGCTCGTTCAAGTCCACCACCGATTCAGCTTGCTGCCGGAGACGCTGTTCTTGACAGTCAATTATATCGATCGCTTCCTCTCGTACAAGGTTGTGTCAATTGGCAAGCTCCAACTTGTTGGTGCTACCGCATTGCTCGTCGCCTCTAAATACGAAGAGATCAACTGCCCGTCGCTACAGGAGATCGTCTTCATGGTGGACAACGGCTACAAGGTTGACGAAATCCTCAAGGCTGAGCGTTTCATGCTCAGCATGTTGAGCTTCGAGCTCGGCTTCCCTGGTCCGATGAGCTTCCTGCGACGCGTTAGCAAGGCGGATGACTATGACCTCGAGACGCGCACATTGGCGAAGTATTTCCTGGAGGTGACCATCATGGATGAGCGCTTCGTCGCGAGCCCTCCTAGCTTCCTTGCTGCGGCCGCACACTGCTTGTCTCGCTTGATACTGAAGAAGGGCGACTGGGTATGTTTGCTCCAACGTGATTGCTCTGCCACATCACTGACATTTAAACCCAGACTCCTGCGCATGTCCACTATTCTGGATACACTTGGGGCCAGCTCAAGAATTTGGTTACCATGATACTCGAATGCTGCTACACCCCGCGCAAGCATCACCTTGCAGTGTTTGAGAAGTACTCCGACAAGCGATACAAGCGCGCTGCTGAATATGTTGAGACGGAGATTGCCAAGGGTTTCACCCTGCCAGCGGTTCGCCAGTCCACAGGTCGCGCAACGGCCTACGACTTTGCTGAAGTCGATAGCAACGCCGGCCAACCTCATCATGCCAAAGCGATGGTCGAGCTCCAGAGCTAGTGGGACAATTGTGCTCGACCACCGATGACGCATCACGTGAGGGACTTCCCTGTGCGCCCGCGGGGTACTTGGCTTCATGCAACGACCTTTTTCTTCTCTTAGCGACGATACCTGACGCGACATTGGTTGCAACCGCGGCGACCATCATAATACCACGATTGCGAGTACAGCTGAACAACAGCTCCGACTTGAGACGCAACGACTGATCCGTCGCCGGCAACTCTTTTTAAAAAAATGTTTTGGACCGCCTGCGCGGTCTGTTGACGATAGTGCACGACTTGACGATACCATGACTGGTTTCTTACTCAGCCTTCTACTTCTTTCCGGTTGGCCCTCGTCGATTTTGTTTTGTCTTTATTACACGGCCAGGTTGTTTTGGCGTTGGAGGAAGGTTCCTCTAGAGCGCAAGGCAAACCTTATAGAAGATGGGCGTGGCTTTCAGGAGCAACATACCAGAACCGAAACCAAAAGCAAGTGCGATACGTGGAGGTGTGGTACAAATGAACAGGCACAAACTTTCAAAACTGCCTGGGAGAGGGTTCGGGACAAGGCAATAACTTGTGTATGACTTATAATTCTTTTGCAAAGGGAGGGGATTTGCATTTTCTATGTACTGTTACAGTTCAGCTAGAGGAATAGCTGAGATGGCCACAATGGCGGCGTCACGGTAGTTGGGTCAGTAAGAAGGCAATGAATATCTTGACAACATTCTTGAAGCTTGAACGAACTAGCTGCAATGGAGTCCATTGCTTGTTGACGTTGGCTGTAGCACTTGTTCATGCTGCACATTGGGATGTCGCCCGATTAACACTCCAGCTGCCCGGGTAGCTTGTCAAGCTGCCCAGCGGGTAGCAGCTATGAAAGCTTGCCCCACTCGCTTAGAGCTGGTGGCTGGTTCTCCATGTGGCACTTGCACCGTGGGGTAGCTCCGCAGTGCGCCAGGCACTTTATTGGTCGAGAGCTCAATGGACGAGGCCGCGGCGTCGGCGCGAGGTCCCTTTTCTCCTCCAGTGGATCAATGGCTGTGAGGCCACCTTGCTGGTTTCCATCAGGTTGCCGCCTCTCGGTCTGCCTCTCATTACCATCCATTGCTGAATCACCCACGCACACTTTTATTTTCCGCGCCTCCAACGTGACACCTCAGCGCAAAGACGATCTGAGTTGGATTGGGTTTGCCCCAGCCCCCCCTAGCATCTATCTCCATCCCCATCTCCTGTATACCACTTCCCTTCTCCCTCTCTACCACCACCTCCTCCTCCTGCTTCCTTCCTCCCCCACTCTAGTCAACCTTGCCTGCGATTGTTGAATTGGTCACGTCGCACCCAGTTGCTCGCCCTCGTCGCCGCTACAATGGTCCATCTGAAGTCTTCGCTCTTGGCCGTTTTGGCCCTGCCCATCGCCGGCGTGTTCGCTGCTGCGGAGGCCCCAGTACGTAATGTCCTCGGCACCTCAGGCTCATTGACATTTGTTGCTAACCAACCACAGGTCGACACCGACGCTGTTCCCCCGGCCCTCAAGGCTGACATCGAGACCACCTTCCCCGATGCCGATATCTTTGGTGTGAAGATCGTCAACGGTCACCCCACCAAGGCCTTGATTGAATTCACCAACAATGAAGATGCGCCAATTCAGGTCGCCATAGTCGGCGGCACCCTGTCCTCCACTCAGGAGCTTCCCGAGGACTCCCTCCCCAGTGACAGCATCATCCGCAACCTGACCGCTGCGCGCTACGACCTGACCATTGAGGCTGGCGACAAGAAGGCTGTTCCCTACTCCTTTGCTCTCGACGCCAACCCTCAGGATGTTCTCCTTCAGCTTATTGCTGTTGTGAGCAATTCCAAGGGTGACGTCTTCCAGGTCCAGGCTTACAACTCCACCGCCGCCATCGTCGAGCCTCCCACCAGCATCTTCGACCCCCAGATGTGAGTTCTAAACCACTGCGGAGCCATTGAGGCATGGCGACAATCGCTGACATTCTCTGTAGCATTTTCCTCTACCTCTTCCTCTCTGGTGCCTTCGCTGGCACTCTCTACTTCGTCTATAAGACTTGGATCGAGGCGCTGTTCCCCCAGGCCAAGAAGGCCAAGTCTTCCAAGAAGGCCCGCACTGTCAGTGTCACCGTGCCTCTGGCTGAGGCTGACACTGCTGGCGTTGCCTCCTCGACTGGCAAGAGCTATGATGAGAGCTGGATCCCCGACCACCACATCAACAAGCCTGTTGCCAAGCGCGTCAAGAGCGGTGCTAGTGGCAAGCTCAAGAAGGGCTCTGAGTAGAGCAATAGCACCTCTACAAAGCGGGCCGCGTAAAGGTGTAGACACGCTTGATAAAACAGCGCCCTTGCGATCACAGATTGGCAGCCTTGAAGCACCTATCAAGCTGAAAAAGAGTTTGTAGTATGATCACATTGAGTTAATGTTGGAGAAGGGGGGAAAAGTACTGTACAATAGCTGCATACAAGGCATGAAGCCGACGTTGGCGACTCCTGTAGGACATACTGGAACTTTGTTATCGCCTTAAAGATGAGCTTTACAATATCTGTGAACGACAAGGTCTTGGATTTCACCCGGCATATGAAATCGTTCCAGCCGTGACTGTGCCTGTTTTGATACGACGACAAGGGCAGCATAAGGTAGGCTGCCAAGATCTTCACTATCTACTACCTAGGCTGTGTGTGGGGGGTGCGTCGTCTAAGGTACTAGCTTGCCGACTTTCAATGGATGTGTGGGCCTCAATCATCTAAACAAGGAAAAAGCAAGCTGTCTGCCTCTAGTGAGCCGACCTGAGACGCATTCTACTCTGCTTTCACAGGATTGATCATATTTTGCTGCGGTCAGAGCTCTATTTGATTGGGCTATAGCTAGGACTGGAATAGTTTTGGCCCCTGGACCAGTGGAAATTTCAAGATTCTTCTTACACACACAATCAATGTAACAAACGAATGAAATACAACCAAAACATTTCCAGACAGACTAGGAATGAAAGCAGTTGCATCTCCAGGAATTAGTACGAGTACCTAGGTAGGAGGTGCTTCTGGGAGGTGCCGCAGAAGCGGGTACCTACCTAACTTACTTCTTGGTGCCGGGCGAACCTGAGGTCGTAGCTTCCCCCAGGCGCGCGAGAGTGACGCGCAAACGCGAGCAGGGTCGCTTCCGCGCTAGGAACATTGGACCTTAATTACACATTTGGGACTGAGACGTTGGCCGCTCGCTTTCACCTTCTTCACTCCTTCACACTCACTCTCTCCCAGCCTTTCTCTCACCATATTCGCGACCCCGTTGTCTCCGATTAGTGCGGAGAAGAATCGTCCACAAGCCAGAGGGAATTTCACGACCTTTGATTTCTTGCGTAATTTTTTCCTACAATTTTCTTCGCAACTACTCTTTCGTTCGACACACACATAACTGCAATGGCGCCAACCGTCGAGGAACCCAAGAAGCGCGGCCGCGGCAGGCCCCCCAAGGCCGACGGCCAGAAGAAGACGCCCTATGTTCCCACAGGACGCCCTCGCGGCCGCCCAAAAGGCAGTGGAGGCGTGAAGAAGGCGACCGCTGCTCCTAAGCCCACTACCGCCGGCAAGACACGCGGTAGACCCAGGAAGGCCGACGACGCGACCGCGACTACTCCCAAGAAGGCCTCCACGCCCAATAAGGCCACACCAAAATCTGCCGCTGGTGGTCGCCGTGGCCGTCCTCGCAAGTCCGACGCGTCTGAGTCTGCCAAGAAAACCAAGGCCACTAAAGAGGAGTCTCTCGCTGATTCCTCCTCAGGATCCGAAGAGGAAGGTTAGCTTGAGTTTCTCCCTTCAGCCCGCATACGAGTATGAACGTCAGCTCACTAATACGTCAAGAGCAGGAAACTAAGAGAGAAGCCGCGCCAAAGTCGCCCTCCGACGCCGCGGACTATGCCGAAGAGGTGCGTCCCTGGCTGCCATCGAGAATGATACGAGGAATATTCGGCTGACCACGAAATTTTTTATCCACAGTAATACAGCGGACGAAAGGGGGAGAGCTTTTGCTACATGTCGCACGGGATCTTGAGATTTTCGTCTGGCGGACAGCGAAAAACACAAGATGGCGTTGGGGGATCGCTTCCAATTTGTTTAGTGGAATAGGTGTTGATGACGGTCCTGGTCCTCTCCCGCCTGCAGACCGTACGGCACGCGAGACTCTGACCGTTACTGAGATACCATGCTTTTATGCTGAATACGAGACTATTCCGTCTCCAACCTCCTTTGGCTGCTATTGTGAAGGCGTAATCCTTCGTCTTTTGGACAAGGTGGCACTGTTCCACTCATTATTTTTCCTGACTTATTCCACCGTTGTCCCTGTTTCTCACTTTTCTGGACTCAACGCCTTCATTCCTTTTTCCACTCGGCGAATTCGATCGAAAGGTGTTCCTTCAACTTCACAAATTGGTTCTTGAAGTTGTCACCGCACCTCCAGCAAACAAGATCTTTTTTCATGAGATAGCCCTCATGGCCGGGGTGACGTCTGGGATCGTCTGGCGCAAGCGGGAAGTCGGCGACGTCGATCAGGAAGGGGGTATTGAAGGAGTTGTAGTGCTTGCGATGCTTCAAGCACACCGAATACATGTCTCGTGAAAGCACGTGGACGTGTAGGTGGTTCATGCTCGGATGCGCATGTACGCCAGTAATGATTTCCGCGTGCCAATCCCGGCCGTTGGGAAGCTCGGTGCCTGTCGGCTCTGCGCGTCCATCCAGCACGGCTTCTCGCGCCGCCTCCGCCCTGCTTTCCTTTGCAAACTGCCGCTGTAGCTCCTTGGCCACAAGGTCCTTTAGCTTCAAGGCCTCTCTTTGTACAGCCGCTAGGAATTCGGGTTCCTCGAAGGCGTCGAATGGATGGAGGAGGTTGTGCTTGAGGGATCGAGGGAGCAAAAGCGTGTGGACGCTGGCCTTTGGGTAGAGGTCATTAATGGCGACGAACTCGTCATTATGATAGATCACCCGCGAGGCCGGGAAGGAGGACGGGTTTTCGATATACACGCCAAGGCCATCGCGGCTTCTGTAAGAGGGTTTGTTGCGAGAAGCTTTGGTTGGTTCTGAGATCGGCTCGGGCTTGCGCTTTCGCGTCATGAGCTCTGCGACTTGGGCGCGCGAAAGTCAGAATGCAAGCGACATTCTGGAGATATTTCTGAAGGATACCTTACAAGCATTCCGCGGCTTTTCTGGTGTAGCGGCGGTCCCTTGAATCTCATCATGAGTGATGGCGTCTTCGGGGTCCGACTCTGCGCCCGCCATGTTGCTGATGGAATGTCGAAAGCTGAGCGTGGGAGAGGCTGTGCGTTTCGCCCAGAGCCTGTTTTCAATATGCCATTCCTTATCTGTAAATTATTACAATAGCAGCAAGCAGTTTGTGGCTCGACAGCTGTGACTGACGCCCTCGTTGCAAAAAAAAGAAGAAAAAAAAAAGAAGCGGGGGGGGCACTCTACAACAACGAAAGTAGGTGTGCATTAGACGGATTGGAGAGTTGTCTAGACTCTTCAAAGGAGTTCTGGTTCATTGTTGTAGGTGTACCCACAGCGGGGGAGCTACTGGAGGAGCCGTGCCCCTCCATCCAATGCCAACAGCAACGACGTCAAGGTCGCTTAGTGGCCACTGCAAACCGCCTCTGCAACCGCTAACGGCAAGTGGCTTTCTGCAGCTGAGCTCCAACAAGCACCCAACCTAGGTACCTGGGAGATCCACGGGCAAATAAAATTTCCCGATACTTTCAGTGACATCTCACCGAGCTCATTCGACGTCCATTTGATCCGGCTCATACCCAACTGGCCGCTTTCTCGTCTTCTCCGCCAACAGGTCTCTCCATGGCTCAGACTAGCCCTTAGACAACATCTCGATACAGCCACCAAACTATGGCTCCGCCCAAGAAAGGCAAGGGAAAGGACAAGGCCGCTGCACCAATCCCAGCGTCGCAAGCAGCCGCCTCGTCATCCAAAGATGGCTCCAAAGGCAAGAAAACTGGCGGTTTGTCGCTCATGGAACAGGCCGCCGGTCCAGCTGCCAATAAGCCCACCGTCAAACAGATCATCGGCGGGTCGTCATGGACCGGAAAGTTGCCGCAGAACCTCTTCAATGAGTACTGCCAGAAGCAGCAGTGGGAGAAGCCAGTCTATGATATGCGCAAGACCCCTGAGGGATATGCCTGTTTCATCACCCTCAGCGCGAAGGATCCGAAGACTAAGGAACTGATGACCCTGGACTCTTTCAAAATTGCGCCGGATTTCAAGCATCTGCTCACCAGGCCGACTGCCCTAGAGGCACGGCATGCCGCCGCTACGTATGCGCTCTTTAGGGTTTGCAGCATGCAAAACAAGCACATGGTGCTGCCGCCCGACTACAAGTCCATGTGGAAAGACTTCCAGGAAATCAAGAAGCAGGATGTGAAGGATGGCAAAGCATGGATGTACGACGCGGACCCTTTCAAGACTCTGATGGAGAGGAAGGACACCAAGGCTGCGGCGGAGAAGAAGCGCAAGGAGGCAGAGGCAGCCAAGGAGAAGGCAAAGTCTATGCCCGGCGCATCGGGGTTGGCGGGTGCAAATGCTATGAAGGGCTGGGTAACTGCGCCGAAGATCGAGATGGGCAAGCGCTCTCGAACCCAAGTCGAGGCGCTGATTCAAAAGTACGTCGTTTGGAATCCAAACAAGATCCAAATACCAGCGGCTCAGAAGAAGGCGATCGTCGACGAACTCAGCAAGCTAGGCTTCCGACGAAGTCACGTTGAAGAGGCCACGGAGATTTGTAAGGATCGTGAAGAGACGCTCGAGTGGCTATTAATTCACGTTCCAGAGGACGACTTGCCACGATGGGCACTGCCGGAGAGCTATGCGGCAGGTATCTCAGTCGCATCAATGGATCTCAAGAAAGAGGCCGTCATCAAGCGTCTCTCGGAATCGGGCTACGCCCTAGATCTGTGCGCCCGCGTCCTCGAGGAGGCTGGCGGCAGCGAAGGCCGGGCAGCCGAGCTCCTTCAGCTCCGCCTCTTGGGACAAGTGTCAGGAGACGAGCCGCGGTCAACCGCGGAAGAAATTCTTCCTCCAGGTGTCTCGGCGGATGAGCTCTGGGACGACGAAGTTTCTGCGATGGAGTCTTCTTTTGGCGACCACTTCAAGAAAACATCGACGGACATCATTCAAGTAAAGCTTGAAAAGGTCAAGAATGCAGGGAAGCCGGTAGAGGCGGCCGTTAAGGTTCGCAAGACGCCGAATTACCCTGCCCAGCTCAACTTTGCCGTCGTGGCACCACTTCCGGCGCAGATCAAGCTGTCGATAATCAAGCAGACGATTGCTTATCTGGACGACTCCTATTGGGAGGAGCCTATGAAGATTTTTGTTGCCATCGACTGGATTCAGCAAAATATCAACGATATCATTGAACGGCCAGGGAAATTGTTGGATATCTCAGCCGTAGCATCAACGGCTTCTGAGGTACCCAATGAACCTCGGTCGCAGAGAGCCTCGAGCAAATCCCAGAGAGCTCCTAAGCCGATCTCCTGGACGCCCGACGAACGATCACGAGACGACTGGTTGAGAAGAACAGAGGATCCGGCGTGGGAGAAGATGATGTCGAAGCGTCAAAAGTTACCTGCGTGGCAGGTTCGCGAAAAGATCGTCCAGACCGTCGAACACAATCATGTCACCATCATCAGTGGTGAGACTGGTTCTGGGAAGTCAACGCAATCAATGCAGTTCATTCTGGACGACTTGTACAACAGAGGTCTGGGTAAGTGTGTCAACATGCTTGTGACACAGCCCAGGAGAATCTCGGCGCTTGGTCTGGCCGATCGTGTGGCCGAGGAGCGATGCAGCAGAGTTGGAGACGAAATCGGTTACGCTATCCGTGGCGAGAATCGCAGAAGCAACAACACAAAGATCACGTTTGTGACGACTGGTGTGCTACTGAGGAGGTTACAGACTTCCGGCGGGAAGATTGAAGACGTCGCAGCGTCGCTTGCAGATGTCAGTCATATCGTCATTGATGAAGTACACGAGCGTAGTCTTGATACGGACTTCCTTCTCACCATTGTCAGAGAGGTTATGAAGACAAGAAAGAACCTTCTAAAGTTGGTGCTCATGAGTGCCACACTCGATGCCGCATCCTTCAACTACTACTTCACCTCCCAAGGTCTGGATGTGGGCATGGTGGAAATTGCTGGGAGAACATATCCTGTCGATGATTTCTACCTGGACGACATTATCAACATGACGGGTTTCAGGGGTGACATGGTCGATGGTGAAGGCGGACGGAGCGACGCCATGGGCAAGGTGATTCAAAAGCTGGGCCACCGCATCAACTATGACCTTCTGGCAGAGACCGTCCGGGAGATTGACGCGGATCTTTCTCATACGGGCAAGTCGGGTGGAATTCTCATCTTCTTGCCAGGAGTAGCGGAGATCAACAGGGCGTGTGGCGTTCTGAGGTCTTTCTCTTCGCTACATGTTCTGCCTCTGCATGCTTCACTGGAGACCAAGGAGCAGAAACGCGTCTTTGCCAGTCCGCCGCATGGCAAAAGAAAGATTGTGGTTGCCACCAACGTGGCGGAGACTTCCATCACAATTGACGACATCGTTGCCGTTATCGACAGCGGCAAGGTGAAGGAAACCACATACGATCCCGTGAACAACATGAGGAAGTTGGAGGAGAACTGGGCTTCTCGAGCAGCGTGTAAGCAACGGCGTGGTCGTGCTGGCAGAGTCCAAGCTGGCAAGTGCTATAAGTTGTACACCAAGAACCTTGAGCAGCAGATGGCCGAACGGCCGGACCCGGAAATTAGGAGAGTGCCGCTAGAGCAGATGTGTTTGTCCGTACGAGCTATGGGTATGAGGAATGTGGCCGGGTTCCTCTCCCAGTCGCCTACGCCACCCGATAGCACAGCAGTTGATGGCGCGATCAAGCTCTTGCGCAGAATGGGTGCGTTGGATGGAGACGAAATGACCGCACTAGGTCAACAGCTTGCCATGATTCCCACCGATTTAAGATGCGCAAAGCTAATGGTGTACGGTGCCATCTTCGGATGTTTGGATGACTCGGTCACCATTGCGGCCATTCTCAGTACTCGCAGTCCGTTCATGTCGCCTCCGGATAAGCGCGATCAGGCAAAGGACGCGCGTATGAAGTTTTCAAATGGGGACGGCGACTTGCTCACCGACCTCGAAGCCTTTAAGCAGTGGGACGAGATGCGAGGCGACGGGATGGGACAGAGGCAACTACGCAACTTTTGCGACGACAATTTTCTCTCGTGGCTCACACTGAATGATATATCGGCAACGCGAATGCAATACTATTCTGCCCTCGCAGAAATCGGTATCGTCGAGACTAATAAGTCCGCCGCCACCCAGAGCCAGAGCAAATCCGGCATGACCCTTCTCCGTGCGATCACGGCTTCAGCATTCAATCCGCAAATTGCGCGAATCCAGTATCCTGACAAGAAGTTTACGAGCACGGTCTCTGGCACAAAGGAGTTGGATCCGGAGGCACGATTGATCAAGTATTTCGCCCAGGAGCAAGGCAGAGTGTTTGTGCACCCCAGCAGTACGCTCTTTGGTAGTCAGGGGTTCACTGGCAACGCTTCGTTCATGTCGTATTTTACCATGATTTCCACCAGCAAAACCTTCATTCGAGACCTGACACGTAAGTTCCTGTTTGATTTCATGAAGGTGGAAATAGGCGTGCTAATATCAAGTAGCTTTCAACGCCTACACTTTGCTATTGTTCTCTGGCGCTATCAATCTAGATACGCTGGGAAGAGGACTAGTGGTTGATGAGTGGGTGCGCCTTCGAGGCTGGGCACGGTTGGGAGTTTTGGTATCGAGACTCAGGGGCATGGTCGATGACGTTATTGCAATGAAGATTGAGAACCCCGGGCTGGATCTCACAAACAACGAAGTGATTAAGCTGGTTGCAAAGCTGATAGAGCTGGACGGACTAGACGCATGATAGAAGGGTGGCACTTGTGGATTACGTTGGCGCAATATCGAGGCAAAAATAGAGAGAGCACGCAAAACACGTCATTATGTTCCATTTGTTTCTTCGAGTAATCAGGCAAGCAGACGCGGACACAAGTGGGCAAAGCAGTAGGATACTAGTCAACATATACGACCTAGCCGAAGCAAGGACGCGTACATTGATGGGCCGCGTAAGTCATTACCCAGGCTCTACGTCCTATCGTAACTGCCCCATCTTGGGAACTCTTCATTTGCCGTGATGAGACAAGGTAGTTGTCTGGAATACGGGGAATTACAAACGTCTCGGGTTCGGTCTGGTCTGAAACTGAAAGATTTCTGCTGCAACCCCACTTGCGGGTGGCTCACTATCCTAAGGTCCCTTAGCCATTCGGCAGTCATTGACATCACACATATTGCTTTGGCAGGCTCAAAGACTTAGCTGCCCATGGATATTAGCACTTGACATGATTACCTCCCAAGCGAGGTATGGCTGTCAATGGGAGATAAAACATGCAAGGGGATATGAACAATGGGGTCGGCTGCGTATGCCCGGAATGGATAGGTGCATACGGATAGAGTTCGCGGTGATCGGCGGCCGGGGTTGCGGGGGCCGGGGTGGGACGCGGGGTAGGTAGCTTGCTCGGCACCTAGGTGCAACGACCTCGCCCCAAAATCTGCAACGGACTCTGCGCAACAAACTTAGCTTGTGCACAATCCCTCTCAACAGGGCCCGGCTGCTCCAACCCTACATGCCTCCGGACTTCAACCTGCTCAACGACCGGTACATTCCCCGACATTTCTGTTCCGGATGGCTTCGACTGGTCAGCTATACCAGTAGTAGACTTCTCCATCATTTTCCCTTTTGTCGATCTTACGTTTGTTGTGCCGGCTAAGACGCGGTAATGAGGTCCACGACACCGCCCTCGAAATGGGCCTCCCTTTTCTCGATGCTGGCGCCGCGCATAGTCCTGGCGGTACTGCGGCCTCCGTTCATCGATCCGAATAGTCTTCCTGATACGCCGGTCTTCAAGGGACCTTGGGGAAAATATATCAAAGCACCAACGGACAAGACCCGTATCGTTCCGCATCGTATATGGGAAGTGGAGGGGAACGTTACGACGTCGGAGCTGGAGGCTTTGGAGGTCGGCGTCGAAGCAGGACATACGTTTCAACATGGCATCACTATTGGACCAGGCGGGATGTTGACGCTGGAATTTGAGGAGAACATTGCTGGACGGTACCGTGCAGGCTGTCTTCACCCTAGAGCGCTTATACCTGGCTAACTATTGCTACTTAATAGTGTATGCTTTGATGTATCGTCCTCCGGAAACGAACCCGAGATCTCCTTAGCGCACTCCGAATCTTCACTGTATGCCGGTCCGCAGCCGGATACCACAACTGAGAAGCTAGATAGAGACCTGCCGCTACACTTCGAATTCAGTAATAAGACTGGCACAGTCTGCGTGGGCAAGGACTTCATACGAGGGGGCTTCAAGTACCTTACGTTGACGATGCCGGAATACCCTGTCTTGACAGATGATCGTGTCGTTGAGTTATCCCTGCCACAGGGCCAGGCAGTATTAGGAGACGACGAGAAACAAGTGCCACTCGGAGAAGCCGACAGAGACCCATACAAGAAGCCGTGGGTCACACTCAAGGGCCTCTGGGTAAACTGCACCGCCTTTCCCTCGCAGTCCAACGGCCGCGCGTATTCGGGCTACTTCCACAGCTCAAGTGATATGCTCAATCGCATCTGGTACGCCGGCGCATACACCCTTCAATTATCGACTATCGACCCTCGAGAAGGCTCTGCCATCATTGACTACAACCGCGACTGGGACCACAACGAGTCGCCGACAGGTTCTTGGTACTCCAACTTCACAGTCGCAAATGGCACGGCCGTCACGACTGATGGTGCAAAGCGTGATCGCGTTGTTTGGCCCGGCGATATGTTCATTGCCGTGCCCGGTATTTCTGTCAGCACCTACGACATGGTAGCTGTACGTAATGCCCTCGATGTACTGTTTGACCATCAGTACTCAGACGGATCGTTACCATGGGCCGGTCCTCCTTTAGGCCTACATGGCGAGTTCAGCGACACATACCACCTACACACTCTGCTGGGCGCTTACAACTACGTCAAGTACTCCGGCGACTTGGACTGGCTAGCGACACGCTGGTCGGCCTACGTCAAGGCTCTCAACGCCAGCATCGACAAAGTTGACCACACTGGCCTCCTCCATGTCACCAGCGCCGCTGACTGGCTGCGCCCAGGGATGACGGGCCATAACCTCGAAGCCAGCGCCATTCTCAGCGCCGTCTTGGAAAAGAGCATGAAACTAGCAGAGTGGCTTCACGACGACAGCCCCGCGGCACGTCCACGTGGGGTATGGTCGGGCGTGCGCCGCTCTCTCAACGCCGGCATCCAACAACTCTTTTGTGAAGATACGGGTCTGTACTCGGACAACATTGGCAGACGCGGTTGTCGCGGCCCTGAACACACTGACCCTCAAGACGGCAACAGCTGGGCTCTTATCTCCGGTGCGACACCGCGCTCCCGGCGGGCCGTCGTCTCCGAGAAATTACGATCCCGCTGGGGCAAGTACGGCGCGCCCGCGGTTGAATTCCCCAACGTCATATCGCCCTTTGTCTCCTCCTTTGAGCTCCTCGCCCATGCGGCGGCTGACGAGCACGACGCGGCCGTCGAGCTGATGCTTCTCGAGTGGTCCTACCTCCTTGACGGGCCGGGCTTCACGAACAGTACGCTGGCTGAGGGTTTCATGGTCGACGGCGGCTTGCAGTACCCAGCCTATAGGTCCGCAGCCCGTAACTCTCACTGCCACGGCTGGTCATCGGGCCCCACGAGCGCCCTCACCTCGGAGATTCTGGGGATCCAGCTCCTCGCCCCTGCCGGTGCAGAATGGACCGTTCGCCCGCACCTGACAAAGTGGCTCAGCTTCGCGAGAGGAGGGTTTGCGACGACCAAGGGCGCCTTCGAAGTCAAGCTCACACGTGTCGTAACGTCGACCTCGTCCACGGCAAAGAACCAGCAGAAGCGACGGAGGGGCCAGACCATTGAGATCACCGCCCCGGGATTCACCAATGGGACGTTCGAGTGGAGCTCTTCCTCGCTCAAGGTTGACGTTGAGGGTGGCAAGACGATAGCGTGGATCGCATGGGACGACGATGGGTCGGGCGTCATCGTGGAGCAGCTCGACGTGGCATTGGGCAGGATCGAGGCGTCTAGTGAGGACGAGTGGCACCGTCAGAGCTTCATCTACCGCGACGATACCCGGCTAGTCTATGATGAATCATGGACGCCGCCGCAGATGGCCCAGAGAAAGGCCGGAGTTGTTGACTGGGATGCGCTGGAAGCAAACTACGCCAAGCCCCTGCATGAGATGTTTTAAGATTTTGGGCATGCTGTACAAGTACGTTTGTCTTTTATCTTGCGGGCAACCCCCCTATCTGTATCATGTTGGACTTGACGAGGGGCGGTTGAGACGGACGGACTTGATGTGTGTATGAATTGGGAAGTCGGCAAGGTCACTGGCGTTTCTGTACAGTATCTGTGGCTTTTTTCCTGATGCCGATAGGTTTGATTATTTTTCATCCAACTTGCCCTTTTGCGGAATGAGTGACGCGGATGCAAGCAAGCACTGCTTCTTCCCCGAACATGACAAGATCCGACCCAAACTCCAATCCACCTCAATGAGTGTGAAATTTCTTTTCCCCGTCCAAATCCAATTTACTATCCGACCTTGAAAGATTGACCAGTCTCAGAATAGCATTCCCACGCTCTTGCTACATTCTAAAAGGAATGGAGGGTATCGACATACTTTTCGACTCTTTAAGGAAATCCCAAACCCTGAAAACATAACCGCAAGAAAGATTGTGATGCTACAATTATGTCTTCCCACTTAGTAGAGCAACTCGCCGCTTTCCGCCATGCGGGAGAACTTGTCATCAGGATCGACAAACTGGTAGTCTTCGCCACGAACGACGCGATCGACCTCCTCTCTGACGAAGGGGAACACATCCTTCCACGCGTTGCGGCCCATCCAGCAGTCGAGATGTCCGTACCCGGGGACGACGCGACGACGGTATTGAAGCCCGCCCTGGCCATGTCCACCGTGCGAGCCAAAAGTATCGCATAGGATTTCATACGTTCGCTCCGTCGCCTCAGGCGTGAGCACGGCGTTATCCCTGCCCACGAAGAGCATGACAGGGACGCCCTTGAGCCTGCGAATGTTCTCCGTCGTCGTGAGAGGGCGGAAGAGCGGGCCGTTGGTCATGACGTGGCCCTCGTACCCTTGCTTCATGAGGAGCTGCAGCTGCGTCATGTTGACGCCGCCAAAGAAGCGGTCAATCTGCCTGTGCGTCGCCTCGTTGAGGTTGTTGTGATTCCAGCAGCGGCCGAAGACGAGGGTGCAGCGGTGACAGCTGGCATTATTGCAGATCTCCTTGCGCTCTTCGGGGTACAGCCTCAGCGCCTCGTTGAGAGCGCGTTGGAGGAAGCTGTCGTCCTTGGCCGTGCTGCAGGAGAACCAGTTTCCGAGGACCATCTTGTACATCTTGTCGAGGGGGATGGGGCCCAGCATGACCTTGGCCATGTTGAGGGGGGCCCAGATCGGGTTCATGAAGACCTGGCTGCCGGTGATGCCATGGACCCAACTCGAGGGGATGGTGCCGTCCAAAAGACCGGTAGAGAAGGCAACGCTGCCCATGCAATGGGCGATGCAGTAGACCTTGTTCTCCTTGGAGTTGCCCTCGGCGTATTTGTCGCGGATATACTCCAGGCAGGCTTGCAAATCCAGGCGGGCATCGTAGGTCGTCCAGTTGTTCTGAGCGACCATGAGTTGGCCGATGCGGTGAACAGCAATGAAAACGCGGTAGCCGGCGCGGGTGAAGTAGTTCACCGCGTTATACTTGATTGTGGGTAATGCGTAGATCTGATGATCGACCGCGGCACCAGGAATCATGAAGAGGTTCTTGGTCTCAATGCTCGGGTTGGTTGGCTCCCACATGTGCATTCGCGTCTTGACACCATCATGGGCCACAATGACGAAGGATGCCTTGGGAGGAGTGTCATTGACGTAGCCGTTGTAGGTGACACTGGGATATTGTAGGGGAGTGAAGGGCGCCATGAAGAGGGAGAGCGACTTGCGAGTGAAGTAGGTGAGGAAGCTCGCCGCGCTGTAGGCCTTTTTGATGAGACTGCTTCCCGTAGGAGTCATGGTCATGATCTGAGAGACAAAGTCGGCAAGCTGGATGTGCATGATGCCCTTGGCGACGACCTTCCCGCGGCGCCACGGCTCGTCACAGTTATGAATGGCCTCCAAGTCGCGACTGGGCTCGGTGATGGTAACATAGAGGGTGCTCGTTGCCTTCCAGAACTGCCAGGGGGCCAGTGCGACGGAAGAATCAACGACTTTGTATCCATGGAAGTGATACTTCTCGCCGTGAATTCCCCGAAGGTCAAAATCGTACGTCATGTTACGAGTCCCCGGTGCCTTCTGGTCCAGGATGAAGAGATTAAAGTCACCTCTCTGAACCATGAAAGGAGAACCGCGAAGAGAGGGGCAGACGAAAGTCCCGGTCAGCATGGCTGAATGGTCGGGCTCCTTGATCATGGACTTCGTGTTGAAAGCCTGCACACTGAGGAAGAATCTGGCGCTTTCGCAAAGGCTCTTGGCTGCTCGGTAGGCCAGCTCATAAGTGGCCCGCTTGTCGGTCACTAGCCCATCATCGCGGTGGACAAAACCAGACATAACTTCGGTGAAGCCAAATCCTCCGGCCTTGGACTGGTCGGCGTGGCGAATGAGTGAGCTTGCCTCGTCAATTCTCTTAGTCTCGTTTTCCGTCTCCGCAGTGTCGTGGGGCTCTTTCGGCGCAAACTGAGGCTCCCCAAAGAGGTCCAATATACCGTTCTTGTTGGGGTGAATCTTGAGGTCTTTCCTGCGGATATATGCGTGGACAGAACGCTCAGCTAGGGCTGTAATTGTGGCGAAGGGGTTGACACCAATGGCACCAGGAATGACGGAGGCATCGGTGATGATGAACCCAGGATGCGTCTCGTCATCATCTCCTGCGAATACCTCGCCAACATCGTTGGTAACACCGGTAGCTCCAGTATCATCGCGGGCCATGCAAGCTCCACTGCAAAATATTGTTAAAATACCTCGTAATTCACGGATGATTCAAGATCAAACTTACCCGATAGGATGAACGGTGACTTGCTGACCTCCCATCAAGGCATGGAAAGGGTTATTGACAAAAGTTCCGCCCATAGCCTGTGTGGCCTTGGCCAGCAGGTCGTTGAGTTTGCGGACATGATCGCTGCGGCCAACCCCGAGAAACTCCAGAACTGGCTTGTCGTCCTTGAGGGTGAGCATCGCTTGGCTACTGTCATGGGACATGACTAGGTAGACCTGAGTATTATCCATAGATCCACCTTGGCGATACGCGCCGAACAGATGGCTCGAGTATCTAGCGAATGCAGAGCGAACCTTTTCCTGGAACGGTTCTCCAGTGGCTTCAATGCTGCCAGGCATCATCTCCAGAAGTGTCTGGAGGAACGGCGTTAAAGAACGAGGAATTGCGCCCTCTTGGATGACATATCCATCGAGCGGGTTCTCGTGCCCTTCTCGATCATCAATAACAGAGTTGATGGTGGGTCCGATGGGGTTATACGGGTTCGGGAAGGGCTTTCCGATTGCGTTCGCTTCTTCATCCATATTGTACCTGAGATGATGGTCAGTCGCATGATTCTCATAGTAGTAGGATCCAAACATACCCAAAGCCTAACATGTCGCCGTTGCCGCTCATGTTCTCGCCGACGCGGGGACTCAGTGGCAACCCCATCTCTTTGCTACGGAGGAGGATCTCAGTGCTACCGATAGCACCGGCACCAAGGAAGACGCACTCCTTGGCATGCACCCACATCAAGTCTCCGTGGAGATTGGCCTTGAAGTGACCTCGGTTACGGCCATGCCAGGCGAAGAAAATGAGGTAGCCACCAATGCGCGGATCAGCCTTTTTGATGAACCGGACCTCGCTCTCGCAGAACATTTCTGCGCCCCAGTTCCAGGCATCGGCCAAGTAAGTCACTAATGTAGTTGTTTTGGAGCCATCATTGACACCAGTACAGTCCTGGCCGGTCAGGGCTGACGGCGACATTTCCACACCAGTACTATTGGGACCATTGCGGAATCTGGTTGTTTGAGGGACCATCTTGAACTTGCTAGACATGCCAAGAGCGGCCGCCTGCTTCTTGAAGAGGTTAACTTTGGGGAGTTCGGGCCAGTCGTCTGGGTATTCAGTAGGTTCAAGAACATCCCTGGCTCTCTGGTAGACTGAGAAAATGCGTGTCAGCGATGTTTGCTAAAGCTCATACACTGTAATAGGGCGGATGACTGACACTTCTTCAGACTTCCCGGGTTTTCTCTGATGGCCTTGGGCCATATTGGCATAGACAATGTGGCCTCATTTGCTTCCAGGAAGACGTTAGCGTTCATCAGACTCGTGCCACCCAGGCCTGTCATCAGTCAGCAACAGGTTTCCAAATGAAGTTTTTGCAAAGGAAGAAATTACCGTTGCCGACAAGGGCGTTCAATCCCTTTCCGAAGATCAAGTGGTACATGCCGGTCGGGTCACCCTTTTCGACAGTTGTACTGGGGAGCCAACCAGGGGCGAACTCGCCGGAAACGTGAACCTCGTCAAAGGCATCGAGAACACCCGTAGGATATTCACCAGGCCATTTCTCCTGCCCCCGCTCCAGTACACAGACAGACTGGCGCTTGCCGTTAGCATCCTGACAGCGGGCGAGGCGGGACGCGGCAACAGCACCGCCGTACCCTGAACCAATGACAACGCAGTCATAGCTGCTGCGCATCAGTTCAACCGGCTTGGATATGCGAGGATATTGCCTGCGAGCGTCGTCGGCATATGTGCGGATGTTGGCATAGCTCCTGGATCTAGGGGCGTTGTCCTCTTGATGGATACCGAATGTCGGGATCCTGTGAGATTTGCTATATCTGATACCGTTGGATGGAGGTTCCTCTTGATAAGATCGAGACGACGATGTTTGCGGGCGTGAATCTATAGAGGCAGGCGAAAAGCCGTTATATCTGGGGGTGGAGCCGTTGTGGCCGTTTTGACCATTGGTGGTACCATTGCTATCCAAGTGGTATCCATTGGCCGTGGTCACATTGATATGGCTCGGACCGGACTCAGCGCCGTTCTTAAGGCTACCTGTAGTTGCCATTGGAGCCATATATGTGGCGCTTCTAGCGCTAGGAAAACAAAGCGTTGTTGGTAGTTGAATATACAACACTCAAAAGTAAAGTGAATGGGTAGATCCGATGATCCTCAGAGCAACTTGCTGATGAGGAAACTGCTGTCAAGATACCGGGTTGACGTGGTTGTTGGGTGGTTATGGACTGAGGATGAGAGGGATTCACGAGGCTCTATATAGGAGAAGAAATGGGAGAATTATATACGCGCTTCAAGGCTGAGAAGACGAATGCGGATGATGAGTGCAGAACGGAAGGCGGAAGAGAGAAATGGGCTTCACAGAGAAGATGTGAGAATGCTTCGCTGGGGGGTCCATGGCGGACCAAGCAGAGGGAGATGCGCCGCTGCGAACTATTCCTAGCAAGAAATCCCACACTAGCATATGTAGATACCTAAACAGAGAACCCACCCCAGTCAGACCAGGAGGGAGCACCACCTTGGGATGACCGGGGTACTGGGAACATCCTTGCCGACAGGCACATGGGGATACTAGGTGCATTGGGTGCGCTGCGCTACGAACGAACGAGCTCGTCAAGTCGGCAAGGAACAGTGCCGGATCCGTCATCGCAAGCAAGTGCGCAGGGGATGCTGCGCAAAATAAGAGATGACCGTTGGTCTCGAGCCGGAGCCAGACCAACACGAACGGCAGTAGAGAATGGATTGGCAGCGTGTGGATTTCGGTGACTTCACACCGAATTCGAGATTGGCAAATCGAGGCAAGCCAGGGTTAGCATGATCTGTAAGCTATGCTTTCTTGTGTCTCGGGCCCAGAGCCCAAATCCGAATTCGTTCATTCTTGAACTTTGTTGGATCCGCGAGCCGGCCTAATGAGGCTGGCTGGAAACCGCGCTTGAAACTGAAAGCCGGGCCCGGGGCTATCGGGCTCTGGGTAGGCAAAGAGGCACATAATGAGGGCAAGCAGCACAGAGGACCGTAGTCTCGGCGCAAGCTGAGGTCCTGAAGCCGGGGAGAAGAGACGGTGGATAGAGTGAGAGTGAGACTGAGGGTTCAGCGCCATGTTTCTCGAGGTGTGAGTGGGCGGTTGCGCCGGCGCAACAGGATGCAGAGCTGCAGATGTGCAGAAGGCGTTGCCGAAAATAAGAGTAGCGTCGGATGAGTAGTCATCGGAGCAGGAGGGTTGATGAAGAGTCGGGCTGTGACAATCAACTGCTAGTGTGCAGCAACTATTGCAGGAGATCCGAGACGGCATGAATCTATTGGTCGGATCGAGTTTGTAATGTCCAGAAAAGAAAAAAGCTGCCTCTTGATGTAGGTACATTGTATTGGCAGTACGGATACCATTGGTGCCGTTGATGAGTTGGATGGGGCGAGCTGAATGCCACGAGCAGTACCTCGGCGGATGAGAAAGTGAGGGAAAGATACGTATATGCAGTCAAAAAAAACACCTCCCTGGCGGAAAGATGGAGCCTGAGTCGTCTGTAAAGACATGTCTCTTGGGTCACTCTCTGCCTGTGCGCAAACGGGCCAATGAAATTAGTCGAAAGTTGTCTCCCCTTCGGCTTTAGCCTGGGGGCCGTTCCCAGTGGGAAGGGGCACGTATCGTTCCGTAGATTTCTCCATCCGACGGAATGGTTGCCCGTTTGGACTCTTGCCCCGCTTACCTTCAACTGGCAGCCACTCCAGAGCTCAGCCGAAAGAAACTTCCACATGGTACGTGCGCAAAGTACCTCTTTTCCAGACCACCCTTCCCGAGCAATCAGTGATTGCCTAAAGCATCCTGGAGTACGGAGTACGGATACCTAAAACGATGAATTCAGCAACGGGGAATTGCTACCAGAAGTTGGAGTTTACCCTAGACTGACCCCAGGCTGCCACAATCAACACCGAAGCACCGGTCACAGACACCTTCAAACCCATCCAAACAAGACAGCCGCAACCATTCAAGAGGAATTGAGCCTCAAAGCATGCTCGTGTAGCATCAAGACGTGGTTGTGATGTTACCTTTTGACATACGACAGACCAGGTGGTATAGATCTGGACCAGTGCAAGTCACGATTGAAGCAAAATCGGCTACCATGCTCCCCCCCCCCCCCACATGGCACCTGAGACAAGTGAGTGGTGGACTTGACTAGCCTGGTCTCAGTGCATCCATTGAGCTATGAGATTGTCATTGAATAGAAACCTATCCGTACCAGAGTTTGGTCTGTGCGACTGGATCACCTTACGACTATCCCGATCTGTTGGTGCGAGGTGAATTAGACACAACAAAGCCAGGGCCTCGGCTGGATGTAATGCATGGTCAGGCAAGGACTTTCATGCGATCCAGCCTTGGCCTTGATAAAGATGAGGTGTTGTCCTTTTTTAAATTCCTACCACAGAAGCTAACTACGGATACATCAGGCTGTCATACTAAGCGAGGATGATGTAGAACCGTATGCGCCGCAAGGAGGCATCAAATGAGGCGAAGCACAAGAATAGGCGAGGCTTGCATGCAATATCATCTGGACTCGCCGACATAGTCAGCGTAAAAGATCGCCTACCTTTCTTCGGTGTCGGTTGGTTGGAGGATTTAAAACCATGATTGGCGCTTGGCGTGTGCCCGCCGTTGGTATGAGCGATGGGATTGGGATCGAATCCGAGTTGATATGGCAATGGGTAGTAAACGGGTCTCCAATGTCAAATGAACGCTAACGGAATTGCGGACTCTGCATCAAATAAGTGACAAAGTCCGAGGCTCTTGATGCCACAACCGCTGCTCACATCCATGAATGTCTTTTTTCTCGTCTGACTGTGTCTTAATTCATAAACAATGGCACGAATTGTCCCCTGCACCTAGCTGACTGCGTAATTTGGTTGCCCGTAAGCTCGCACCAGCAACGCGGGCCTGCGGCAAGGATCCGTGGTGGGTCTTGATCCGGCCCCCCCTGCGGGAGGGTGGTCGCTGCGCCATCCGCTACTGCCCCGCTACTGCCATCCCGACTCGGCGGCCCCCACTCATAACCCATCGGAGCCTCAGATGTACCTGCCTACCTTACACCATGACCGACCACTCTTTCCAATCAGGGTGCCCCGACATCCCAAGGCAACCGTCAGGCTGACCTGTGCCTCTTTTTCTTTTCTTACATCCAGCTTTCCGGTCAAGTTGCATCATTCGCCTCGGTCATCCCAGCCCCGTATTGCTTCTTGCCTCATCTGCCTCGCCATTGGCAGATCGACAAAATTCCAACGGTCAGCAATCGTGCGATGAGACACATGCCAGGGCCGAGTGCACCGCCATTGTCCAATATCATTTGATTGTCCTTTAGTCAATCTTTTGACTCCTGGGTAGGGCTGAGTTCGCTGCCCATGCGGATGCAGATTCACTACATCAGACGCCCGCTGCTGCAGGGGTCGACCCGCCAGCGTCTGACCAATGCGCTGTAACGACTATCAACGACGTCGGTGGCCTCGTCACTCACCCATTCGTGCGCCGCGGCGAGGTAAATTGACGCGAGGTCGATCAACAGAATCGAAAGCTAGAACGTCACATGTCTGGCACAGCGGAATTTTGGGACTCATCTCCTTTCTGTGCCGCCCAATCTCTACTGCTGTCCTACGCATCATAGTCACAGGACGCGAGATGCCCTGGAGATGGTACGTTACGACGCGCCCCGTCTCCAGGAACATGTCCTTACGTCCGTTAGGAACGCCTTCGTTCAAGAATCCCACCACTGGAAACACGCGGTATTTATAAAATGACGTTAAATAAAACATCGTCGACATGTCGTGCTGCGCTGAATCTTCCTTGCGGCCGAATCAGCGTTATCGTTGAATCGTTTCACGGCAGGCGAAATCCCCGAAAATTTCTCTTTCCAGCAGTCTCACTATCCCTGTTTGGGAGATATCGGGGAGACACAATGGAAATCGACGATAATTTCTGGCGCTTCTGGACCTCTGTCTGGCCAACATCGGCTCGGCGCTGCGGGCCCGACGCATGTAGCCCACCACTCGCCATGTCAGTGTCACCCGAACGAGCTGGTGTCGGCGGAGTCCTTCTATATCATGTCCAACCTGGGATAAGCCGTCGAACTTGCCTCGAAATCTAGATCATGAGCCACAACCGACGCCAATTCACGAGCTGTTGCAATGCCACACTCAGATCGGGTGGTTGCTTTGCTGCCAGCAACGTTGTTGTCCTGGCGCTCGAGTTATCAAACTATAAGGCAGGAGATCAGTTCGGCCCGAACCTGTGTCTTGGTCTCGTTGAACACTGTGCCTCACTCGTTGGGCATGCTGACAAGCATCGGTTCTCATAGCGGAGCCCACAATTACGCCGATATGCGTCTGGCTAAGAGACTTCTTACGTGACTAGTATTAATGACATCGCTGAACCACGGTCTCACACGATATTCACCATCGACTAAGTAGAACAGCTTTTCCAGGCTACATCGACTACAGCAGCGATATCAATCACAGCCTGGCAGGCTCATTGCCGCAATCAAAGGTGGCTTCAGATAGTCAGCACTGGTCTCGGTATCTTCTCTCGTCAGCACCTTCTCTTCACACCCACTCAGGCTCGCGCCAGTCCTTCCAAGCTGGCGCTTTTCGAAGGAATCAGCTTATTCAAATCCTTCAGTCGGCACTTGGAGAGATGGGGGTGGATGTGCCGTTGCGCCCGGAACTCTGCCAACATTTCACCGGCCACCATTCGTTACTCAAAGGACAATGCCTGTGCTTGTCAAAAAAGAAATGTAATTGGTATAGTTTTAACCCAGGTTTCCCTGCCGCCAACGCCAGCTCCGAAATACAAATAGACGTTACACCGAATTTCAAGGTCATCACTGCGTCTGCCCATCGTCTTTGGACGTGGCTGCGCCACTCACACCATCTTTTCGTGTCCCTCTTCCGAGTTACTGGTCGAGAGCGTTTAGTTCCACCAGTCGCCCTGGTCATGCATAGCACGGGCAACCTTGACGAAACCGGCAATGTTGCTACCAGCGACCAAGCTGGGAAGCTCAGTCTCACCACCCTTGACGTACTCCTTGGCGGTGTTGAGGCCGTTGAAGAAGGCAGCAGTCATGATGTCTTTGAGCTTCTGGTCAACCTCCTCGCGGGTCCAGCCCAGGCGCTGGCTGTTCTGGGCCATCTCGAGACCGGACACGGCGACACCACCGCAGTTGGCAGCCTTGCCGGGGGCGTACCAGATAGCCTCGGCACCCTTCTCCTTGCGCTGAGCCTCGAAGACGTCGATGGCCTCCTGAGTGCAGCCCATGTTGGAGCCCTCAGCGATGGCAATGCAGCCAGCGGCAATGAGGGCTTCCGCCTCCTCCTTGGAGACCTCGTTCTGGGTTGCGGAAGGCAGAGCAATGTCGACCTTGCCAACGTGGGTCCAGGGACGGGCACCCTTGATGTACATGAAAGAGCCCTTGTGGTCGAACTCGGTAAGAGACTTGCGCTGGACCTTGAGGCCGGCAATGTTCTCAATCTGCTCAGGGGTGAAGGCAGCATCACCCTCGGCGACAAGGCAGCCTTGAGAGTCGGACAGAGAGACGACGGTGGCACCGAGCTCAATGCACTTGAGAGCAGCGTACTGGGCAACGTTGCCAGAACCAGAGATGGAAACAC